ATGTAGAACACAAGTAGTTTCTTAAAAAAAATCAAAAGACCAGTATTTGAACCAAGTACACATCACTTGAACACATTTTACAATATTGTATGAAATTTGCTTAAAAGTGAAGCTAAAGTATTTTTTCCAGACATTTTTTCAACACTGCTTCGGATTTGTTTGGATCAGAAATCCCTATCTTTAAACTCGACTCAAATCATAACACACTGTGATGAAATGCAAAAAAAAAAAAAAAAAAATGGATAATCCAATAAGACATACTTTTTTCAAAGGACTCTTTGACATATCTGGTCTTGTTATGTTGTCATTTCATATTTCATCGAGGAGAGACTTAGTTGTGAATAACGCTTACAAATTCTTCTAACTTTATTTTCGAAACGAAACTTCTGGATTAATGGATATATAAAAAAGAAAAATGACCGTTATTGAGACTGGGAGGCCCTTAAGAGATGCTGCTTCATTCAGAAAAAAACACAGTTTCGTGAGGTTTATCCGCCGGTGGAATTATCGGTACATATTTATTTATATTAGGGTTGCCAAAATTGCCTGACAGCGAATGTCGAAATTTAATAGGTCTGTGGCTATATAACGAATACTTTTTGTAGGGAGCGTTAATGCAGCGAAATCAGTCAAATCACCAAATTTGGCTACAAATTAGGGTTGCCAGCCTGGCTGAATTGTCCAGCTTTTTTAATGCTTGTCCAGTTTCAAGGGCGAATGACTAGTCTGGAATAAATAGTCTGCCAGTACAGCCAACCTTATCTGAAACCTAAATTTTTGTAGAATATTTTGGATATAAAACCAGTAAGGAAAGCAGTAAAGTCGGACGGGGCCGACTATATGATACCCTTCACCACTTTCGGTATATCAAACAGATGAAACCTAAAAGTATTTGAATTTTTAAAGGACCAGGAAAAATTATGAAAATCAATTATAAGCGTATATATATATATATATATTTGTAAAAACGGACGACATCGTTTACATTAAATAAGCCTTTTATATATGGTCTATATATAAATTGGACACGACTTTCAAGAAACTTAACATACATTCATTAATTCATTACGCAATGCCAAATTTCGTGCAAATCTCTCAAGATATATAGAGACTTTGGTAAACCATTTACATTAAATCGGACGAAAATATATATGGGAACTATATCTACATCATTCTAGACTTAATTCAGTACGCTGTGCCAAATTTCATGCAAATCGAAAGGTATAGAGGGACTTTGGTGCCCCATTTACCTTAAATCGGATGAAACTATATATGGGAGCTATATCTAAATCTGAACCGATGTTCTCGAAACTTGGCACACATCATTCTGGACCTAATTCAGTACTCTGTGCCACATTTCATGCAAATCGAAAGATAAAGAGGGACTTTGGTGCCCCATTTACCTTAAATCGGACAAAACTATATATGGGAGCTATATCTAAATCTGAACCGACTTTCTCGAAACTTGACACACATCATTCTAGACTTAATCTAGTACGCTATGCCAAAATTTGTGCAAATCGAAAGATTTTCAGAGACTTTGGTGCTCCATTTACCTTAAATCGGTCGAAACTATAAATGGGAGCTATATCTAAATCTGAACCGATTTTCTCGAAACTTGGAGCACATCATTCTGGACCTAATTCAGAACTCTGTGCCAAATTTCATGCAAATCGAAAGATATAGAGGGACTTTGGTGCCACATTTACCTTAAATCGGACGAAACTATATATGGGAGCTATATCTAAAAATCTGATCCGATTTTCTCGAAACTTGGCACACATCATTTTAGACTTAATTCAGTACGCTGTACCGAAATTCGTGCAAATCGAATGATTTTCAGGGACTAAAGTCCATAAATCGGACAAAAATATATATGGGAGCTATATCTAAATCTGAACCGATTTTTCCCAATTTCAATAGGGTTCGTCCTTGGGCCAAATAAATGAGCTGTGCCAAATTTCAGCCAAATCGGATTATAAATGTGACCTGTACTTTGTTTACAATTTAACATGCATAAATCGACATGCATAAATCGACTCAGAAAGTGATTCTATGCATATTCTCAAAAGGAACCATGGGTCTATCTCTTTTGCCTGTTACAAACATATGCACAAAGACATAATACCCTGTACCACAGTGTTGTGAATGGTATAAAAATACGCCTTGTGTTTAAGTGTGAGTCAAAATAAGTAGGGAGTGTTCATAACTTGAACTGAAGAGCCATGAAGTTTATTAATTGACCAGCTGAATGACTATAAGAACATGACATTGACGCTCGAGGGGTCTTCTATATAAATCAGACCCTTTGCATGCCTTTTACAAATTGATGGGGTTTTCTCCATTTGTATTTGTGTCATTTTGTATAGAGAGGAAATCTATAGAGAGTTGTGAAATCTGTAGAAATAAATTCCTTGGGATGCAGCGTTAAAGATATGCCTCTTAAGAGGTCATGTATAGATTGGACACTTTGGAAAGAAACCTCTTGGAGGTCTTCTATGAAAGGATGACCATCTTAGATGGTCAATTTCGTAAGAAATTGAAAACTATTGAAGGCCTTCTACAGATGGAAGATCCCTAAAAAAATTTTCTGTATATTCAGATACTTCTTGGGACAAAGAAGACCTCATTTTGGAGAAATAATTGGCTTAGGAGGTCTTCTACTGAAAGTATACATTTGGACCCTTCTTGGACCAGATCATACCAAACAACTTGAGACTGGCATTCAAGTTTTCTGTAGAAATTCTATGGTAATCTGAATGAACCCGATTATTTGAAAGCCTTTTACAGAAATTATAAATTTGGAAGGATAGCAGGGTCAAACAAGGTCTTTGATAACTGTATCTAAAATATAGTGAACTGCACTCTTGTAAAATATTTGGATATGAAAAATCCTCTTATGTTATTTTATTTATGCTTCAAATAAGAACTCAGAAAAACCTGAGACAAAAGAAGGATATATTCTTCGAATGAAATCGTCCAAAAAGAAAGTCCAGGAGAATATATATATATATATATATTTGTGAGGCACTTGTAATGTTAAAAATAATGGATATTTTAATAAAGATTATTCAAAATTATTTCCGTTTTTGATGTATAGTTTTTTTTTGTTTTGTCCCAGAAAATCTAGATCTACCCATTGTTGTCTGTAAGAAGTTTTCGTATTAATAGTAGTCAACTATAAAAGAAATTGAGTTTAAAGTTCCCCGCGCTGTTCAAAGATGCCCCACGTTCCAAGGTACCCCCCTTTATCTTTCCTATAGTTTTTGGATTTATTCCATATGAAAAAAACTGTTCTTTGCGACTGAGAATGTTTTTTTTATCTCTTTTTTCTATTAGGAAAAAATCGTTCCTACGTTAAGAAGCTTTTTTGCCCATCCGAACTCATATGAAACAAATTAAGATTTCCCAGTTTCGAAAAAACCAAGTTTTATTTACTTCGAATCTGTCACAATTCAAGGGCAGTCTGACTAATTTATAAACTACGCCAAATTAAATCGGTAAGCTATTTTCAAAAATTCAATTGAGCAAAGATATAAATGAAGTGACCGCCATTTTTTAATTTTAGTTTATAACATAGGATTTTTGGATTCAATTCACAAAAAAAAGAACATCTAAATTAAGAATTCAACCGCCCATTTATAGAAGACATTTGTACGAGATTAATCCCGCATCAAGATATTTTCAAGAGGCTTACATGGGAATTTTAATTTGCGCAAAGGCTTACAACTCTTAAAGAGGCGGGCGAGATAGTGTTGGCTGGGCCCTAATTATAGTTATAGAAAATAACGATCATAGTCTATGTTCCATTAATTTCCGGTGTAACTGCTTTTGAGATATTGCAATCCTATTTTTTAGTAGTTTGTCCTAAAACTGTTCTCCAATACTTCACATAATGAAATAAATAGAATAAATTGAAGAGATCTTGATTATGACCCTGAATATAAAATCTAGATCACGTCCCAGTGTTTGGGTGTTCAATGTGGAAAAGCAAATCTCGAAAAAGTAAACTTTAAGTCGGCATTAATTCTAAGGCGATTTACGCAATTAGTGTTGGAACTTTATAGAATTCATATTTTAAAAATAGAGATTTAAAATTGTTAGCAATTAATGGAATTACTAGTAGAGGAGGGTGTACCTTTGAGGAACGATAGATTGCAATTTTTTTATTTTTATTGATTTATATTTTCAAATGGAAATAGTCTGTCATTTTGGTAGTTCTCCCTCATTAAACATAATTGCGGATGGGTCATGTTTTCAGAAAATTCTATGGATCTTATCAATCATTTTTTATTCGTATTGTGCGATTTTCAGTCGATTCGCTTAAAAAATGTATTAAATATTTTAAAACAACAAATTTCAATTTATAAAACTCAAAAATTGAAAAAGACAGATTTCTGTAAAGTCTAACACAATATTTTTATAATAATATTATTTGATAATATTTTTTAAATTTCCAAATACTCCACAATAAATCAGTAGCTGTTCGATATTTAATTTTTTCTATCTGTTGCATAGTGTTATTATTGATTTTGTTTCATTGCTTTTTTTAACAATTGACAAAATTAAAAAAAGGTTTGTTTGTTTATCCACTGTTTTAGTTTGTGTTATTTTTTCTTCTTCTTCTTTTATAAATATTCATTTAGTTTTAGTATTCAATTAACAGCTTATTTTTGGTTTAATAAAATTTAAGAGATAAATAATCAAATAAAATAGGAAAAGAAAATAATGAGAAGAAATACAAACAAACATATATATTTTCATTAAGATTTTATTTTTTTTCAAATATAACATTATTATAATTTGTTTTTATTTAATTTAATTTACTTTAATATTTTTTTATATATTTTTTTCTTTGGATTTTTTTTGCATCATCATCAGTATTAGTTTTCATTATTAAATTGATTATATAATTGTTATTTTTTTTTTTTTTTTGGTTGGTGTTTTTTGGTTTTTTATAATTGAAGCCTAAACAACATTTTCATCATTTGTCCCCGTTTAATTTTGTTAAAATGAGGTTTTGCCAAAAATGAAATTTCCTGGGGCATTGGTATCTTCGGCAGCAAAATATTCCTTCCACAAGGCAGCAAATTGTTCACGTGTTACTTCCTCCTGACCCTGGGCCATTTTGGCGAAAGCCTCTTCACATTCCTTCTTTTCCAGTCCATAGCTGGAACAGACCAGGGCGAATTCATTGACATCAATACTGCCATCGGTGGAGGCATCCTCCAAATCGAACATAAAGTTCATGTACTTGTTTTGCCAGTCCATAACGGTGCTGGGATCCTTGGCATAGGCGTCCCACATGTTGCACCATTCATCGACGGAGACCTGAAATGGAAAAAAAGAGAGAGAGGGGGAATTAATATTTGGGAAAAAACAAAAACAATTTTTTTTTGAGGTTTGAAGGAAGATAAGTTGAGAAATTGAATAATAAATCTTAGAGGGGATTAGTGAGAGAATCGGAAATTCAATTAATTTTTTTTTCGGAATTTCCCCATTTCGTCCACTGAAGTGGCTGTAACATTTCCCTAAGGTTTCTGGGAGCCTGATATATATTTATGCATGTTTTGACATAACCCCTATCTACAGGTCCTGTCCCTGTATTTGGACCTCCATTTCCCATGTGTATGCCTGCCTTTCACCTTTAAACTCTGTCTCTCTCTATATGCACACATACACATGTAATTACACTTGATTTTCACATTTATCCACATGTCTGTTTTTTCCTTTCATTTTATCCTTCCACTGTCTGTCCATGTGTGTAAATTATGTATGTTTAAATTATTGTCAACAACAACGATAATAATAATAAAACACAATTGACATTTTTCCCATACGTACGTAGATGTGTGTGAGTGTGTCTGTGTTGTTATGCATACATGATTTAACTTTTTGTGACAGCGTGTATATTTAATTTATTAAAATGGCCACACGGATACTCGCACACACACACATCTATATAAAAATATATGGACTCATTTTTGCAAGTGAAAACATATAATTGATTTATAATTTATCTGTGATGAAAACCAATAATTATTTATTATTTATTAACCATATAAATAAACTTTTGTTATGGATAGTCGTTGTAATTGAAAGATATCATCAACAGCATCACCACCAATGTATGGGTTGGTAGGGGTTTTTTTTAATGGTGTTCAATATTTTTTTCGTTCGGTGTATATATAACTCAAAAACGAAGTGGATCAAGAAATTTCAAACTGAAAAATGAAAATCCGAAATATCGATAATAAAACAAAAAGAATTAATAAATGATTGCCATTGGTGCGTATGCTTACCATTTGTAAATTATACGCAACATGGTCGGAATTTGTCTCCTAAAGACACAATTTTACTACTGTGGCGTATTCTTAACACCTGTCAAGTATACGCACAATGGTCAGTATTTGCCTTTTTGTGAAAAATTACCTAAAATATTTTAAAAATTTCATTATATCCACAATATATATATATATATATGTCAATATTTTTTAATATTCCATTTTCAAAAAATCGGTTTTTTTTTGTTTTTGTGGCACATCAATGATTTTTTGTACACATATAGAGAAAAATGTTCTGACTCCGAAACCGTTCGCAATCAAATTTTTGGTTGATGCGCGCAAAAGTTATCGAGGTTTTAATTTTGGGCATTAGAAAAAAATCTTAAAATTACGTCAGCATCATTTAAAGGTAGATGCAGTTAAAATTTTGAAAAATGATACATAAGGGGCGCAGTCCCCATTTTGTTGGTTTCTAGTTTTACTTTGACACGAAGACCGTGAAATGAGTGGCTTAGTCACAAATTGATAGAGAACATAAAAAAACTGGTTCGCCTCAACCTGTTTTACACATTTTTTTACATTAAAGTAGACACAGCTTCCACCAAAATAAAGTTTGGAGGTCAATATCATGAACAGTTTGCAACGACAGACCAATTAACCCAAAACTATTTACTTTTTTTTCATATATTTAAGTAATTCCCGAGTTATAAAGGGGTGAACCTCCGCTTCAGCTATGTTAAAAAATTGGCAATATTGCTCATATATATATATTTATATATGGGGAAAAATAAATCCATTATTTTTATACGAACTATAAGATTTCATTTAACATGCTTCGGAATGTCCGATTTGTTGTATGACTTGCACCGTTTTGTTGTATGATTTGTTGCCATTGTAAACAAAGTCAGGTTGATTTTCATCATCCTTTGGATGAAATTTGTATTTAGCTTTATTTTTTTCCACCATAGTATGGACCCTATATTAAATTGGTTTTTTCAGATTTAACTCATATAATCATTTCCCATATATATATATTCTTCCGATTTAAGGTAAAATGGTATGACGGTATAGCCATGTCCGTCTATATATCATTTAAACGATTTGCATAAATCGAAATTTTGCATAGCGTTTTGTCTGCAGGCATGTAAGTTTAAAATGATGTATGACGTTTAGGCATAGCTCCCATGGAAAAATTTCGGTATTTTGGGGTTCTTGAGCGCGTTTTTCAACCGAATTCGCTGAAATTGTGTACATTGGGTTTTTATTGCGTATAAGTTAATTTTTTCTGGTAGCCCCCATATAAGGGTACCCCATTTATCGGGGGGTACCCTTATATGTGAGTATCTTGAGCGCGTTTTTCAATCGAATTCACTGAAATTTGGTATTTTGTAGTCTTGTTTTGTAACAAATCTCCCTACCAAAAATTATTAATATTCACACCCTTTTTGGGGGTAGTTCCCATTTGTTGTAATTACTTCACCTGCGGAGGATATTTAGAACGTTCAACTATAGTTCACATTTAGGCCTAGCCCCCATATAATGATACCTACCGATTTTCGGTATTTTTAATATTAGGCGTAAAAAATGTATTCTGATGCAACAATGTTAGTTTCGAAATAGAGCTATATCTGTCCGCAATTAGGCATAGCACCTCATATAATCGTATCTACAAATGTTCGGTAATTCCACACAATCCCCCGAAATAAAACCTGTGTATATTGGTGATGGTCTTATATATCTGTGACCTCTTAATTGCAGTATTTTTTTTTACCCTACCATGCGTCGTCAAAAACTATCTGGGGTTTTAGGAAAAATATCCATTAAAAAATTCTGAAATTTGTATTTGGTGTACATTGAGTTTTCGGTATGGGTCCACTTTTGGGTATGTACCCTATATTTTTGATGCTAGTATCTGTTAGTATACCGATGGTGGATGGTATCTAAAGTTCGCCCCGGTCGAAGTTAACGCTTTTTCACCTGTTTTATCATTAAAGAAATTTTGCAATGCCAGAAAAATATGATAATCGCTTGGTGCGAAGTCCGGACTGTATGTGTCTGGCGAGTCGCTGTAGGTGTGTGTGGCCTAGCGTTGTCCAGGTCGAACACGACACTTCTCCTGTTGGCCAATTCTGGCTATTTCTGGTCAATTGATACCTTCAAACGGTCCAGTTGCTGGTTGACAGTAGAGATCAGAATTTAGCGTTTGGTTTGGCCAAGAAAAAGATAATTTGAAATTTGTTTTTGTCAATGTTGCGTATGATTATCATGGGTAAAGTATACACATTGTGGTCGGAATTTGTATTCTAGGGAAAATGTGCCCACAGTATTATTAAATATTGTTTTATTTTTTTAATAATCTCTGATATGCGTTTAATTATTTTTTTCGCACCTTAAGTGCCATCAACCATTTAAATGATTTATAGCCAAGAATAATGCAACCCAATTTAATTGGAAGAATTAATTACAACAGCATATATTTTAAAAAATTTCACCATCATTTAATAATTGGCAGTTGAATGAATAACGCGAGGCTTAAGAAATTTGAAAAACAAAATAAAAAATATGAAATGTCTATAAAAAAAAAAAACATTTGAATTTTTTTTTGGCCAATGTTGCGTATACATATTATGGGTGAAGTATACGCAACATACCCGATATTTCCCTCGTAGATAAACAATTGTACCACAGCTGCGTATACTTATCATGTGTAAAGTATACACAGCATGATCTGAATTTACATTCTAGAGAATATTTACCAAAATTATGTTTAAATAATTTTCTATAATCTCTTATATACATTTTTAAATGTATATTTTTCTTTCTTAAATGCCATCAACAATTATCATTTTATAGCAACAAAAATAATGCAACCCAATTTAATTGGAAAAATTAATTACAACAGCATATATTTTAAATAATTTCACCTTCATTTAATAATTGGCAGTTCAATGCGTGTGTGTGTGTGTGCGAGTGTGAATTCTCACATATACATACGTATGTATATTTAAATGATGAAAAAACAAATTATAATAATGATAATAATAAAATGGTGTGATATATTATCTGCAGGCATTGTCATTGTTAATCGAATCGACAGATGATAGTAGTGATATGAATAATAATCACAATAAAGGAAATAATGAAAAATAAAAAATAATATATTTAATAAATATGTTGAAGGAAAATTCCATTGAAAATAATTAAAGACAACTCCTTTACGGAAAATGGCAGCTTGGAGATATTTTAAAATATTGGTCAGGCGGTATAATACAGGAAATATGGAAATTGTTTTTTTTTTTTTTTGAAACAGTTACATACCTGCCACGGACATGGCTAGATTTTATTTGAAATAAGAATTTATATACTTTATGGGGTCTCCAATACTTTGTGGTATAAAAAAATTAAATGGATTTTACATGGTGTCCAACAAGGTGTAGGAAACCTAAATATTGAAAGTGGGATGATGTTGAAATGTCTTAGAAAAGTATATTTCAAATTGTACCAAATAGGGCTTACTAATGGTAATGTACTATCACTGAAAAATTTTGTTGATATAAACAATTAAACTAATTAAAGAATGTCCCTACAAAATTTCAAATGAAAATCTCAAGAACTTTTGAAGATATAGCCGATTTATTGTGTCAGCATCAAGTGACGGCTGAAGGGCTTCTCAAACTTTAAACGCGTTTTTATCTAAACATTTTTTTGCGAATGGTGGGCACGATAACTCAAAAACTAATAACCCAATCGACTTCAATTTTTACACGTTTCTCTGTGAGTGTATAGCTATCGTATGAACTAGGATAAAGCCAATCGGTGAAGATCTTCCTTATTTTTGACTTGGGTTTTGGTAAAAAATCAAAATTTTTACAAACATTATAATTTGTGGTATAAACAATCTAAATGGATTTTACATGGGATCCAACAAGGTGTAGGAAACCTAAATATTGAAAGTGGGTTGATGTTGAAATGTCTTAGAAATGTATATTTTAAATTGTACCAAATAGGGCTTTAATATGAAAAAATGTTTGTTAGGGTCTTCCTGGC